CAAACAGTTTTTAGAGGGTGTGATTCTGGCAGGAGACAACAAATTGTTGATAGTGATCGCAATCTTATCCCTAGATCGGTTTTGCACTATTGCTTCACACGGAACGCAACGCTGCAATATGACTGACTGCAGTCTTGAAACACGACTAGCGATTAACAGAGTAGCACTAACTGAGTAGTGTTCAACAGAATGCAGTGCGATCAACTGATGAGGAAGTTCGATTTGCTCATTGCTGTAACCGAATTTTCATCAAGTCACCATTAACACTTTCGTTGGCAACTCACTTCACCTATCACCGTTTAGCTTGCAATTTATCTCGTAACGGCATCATTTCATTGATGATGCATCACCATATTCAGGCATATCTCTTCATATGGATGGATTCAAAAGATTTCGCAAACACTAAGCGCTATTTCAGCAATGCATTGAATACAGAACGCCAAAAATCATGAGTAAACAAAACCGATTAAGTGAATTGTATGTGCGAGCATTAAATAAGTTTCATGAAGTGCATGTTTGAGAAGTAAACATAGAGTGGAGTTTGAACTGTTTACAAATACAAGATATACCATATTGCAATGAAAAGCCGATCAAATTATGAATGATATAATGTTGGGTCAATTGAAAATAATAATCTCGCGCAATAAAATATGATTTAAAATAACAAAGAATTATCTCTAACAAAAAACAAAATTTTCGCATATGAATAAATGAAGATCGACACAGTAGCGCATTCATAACGATTGCTTGCAGGCAACCAGTTGGGAAGTGAATGAAAGCATTTGCAGATGTGCTTTTGGAAATGCGAATGAAACGTGTCTTTGACAAATCGACTCATCATCATCAGTTTGTTTGGAGAGTGAGATAAGAGTGAAGTTTATTCGTATAAAACAGCACAAACAGCAGCAAATACAACAAAATTATGTTGACGTTATGCTTCATCTTCAAGAAAAGAACTAGAGAAGGCGATTAATATCTGATATTTGTGCTCAAATCATGCCAGCTTGTAGAATGGTTGCAAAATCGCACGATCATTTGAAATGGAGCCATTTCAGGACGCAAAGTTAATGTGTATGGGGAAGTTGTCTAGCGGTTGGATTACTCTGGATATTTGTGACGAGATGAGAAGTGAGAATTCGCTGACTTCAAGGTACATCAACACATATATAGTTTGGTGCTGTTCCCTAAATGGAAATCTGATGCCTTCATAGGATGGATACTTTTGCTATCCAGTTTTGTTCAAGGCACATTCAAAGCAAATGGATTCCCATGAGAGTCGGAAAATGTGACTCTATAGCGTATAATCGAACCAAATGTTCTACTCAATCATAGCACACTATAACATCATTCGATTAATTTCTTCACTGAAGTTCCAATAAAACGATGTCGTAAGAATGTTCTGCGTTAACGAAACATCAAATATCCGTCAGATAAACATTGTGATCTCACGGCTAAAAAACGCCAATACGCGAATATCACATCAAATACGCCTGTTTCATACGAAATTAATGCACTTCATTACCTCAAAATATTATTGAATTTAATTACATAGTAAAGGTTCATATTATTTTTGATGGTATTGCATATGACTACGAATGAAATATATTTCTGATGCTCGCCCATCGCAGACATTTCTCTCGTATTTAGGTCCTAATGCTAAAATTGCAATAAACACTCCTTCATAAAAGCGAATTGCTTGAATTTTGCTTGACAGTTAGCAATATGGTTCTTACTTTTTTGTTCAACTGACCCGAAACGCATGTAAATTA